AAAAAAAAAAAAAAAGTTGATCCGTTTGTTTCGGGGTTTTGAACCCGACGTGAATCGAACACGCAACCTTCTGATCTGGAGTCAGACGCGCTACCATTGCGCCACGGATCCCCGATGATAAATAAAGCGTAAGAAAACTCCAAATCAATAAACGCATAAACCAAATTCATATAAAAATAGAAAACAAAAGAACAATGAGAAAAGCGTACCGCCTCGGCTCGACTCTCGAATCTCCGGCGTCGGTGGGACCCACTCCGTTTCCCATTTTATCCATCAATTTCCAGATTTGCCACTCTCCGCTCCCCAACCCCACGCTCTCTCCCCCTTTTTTTTTTAAATGTAAAATTCTGTACAATTGTCTGTGTTCGGGTATTTCGCTTCAACGGCGGAGCTGAAATGACGAGAATGCCACTGAGCTTCCCGGCGACTGGCGGCGTCGGTGGTGGCGGAGGAGGATTAGAATCTGCCAGCTGGTGGAGCGAGATCAACGAGTCGGTCGAGTGGCAGGACGGGATATTCTTCACCCTCTGCGCCGTTTATGCCCTCGTTTCCTCCGTTGCCCTCGTGAGTCCATATCTCTAGCTCCGACTGTGTAAGCTTTTTCTACAGACTACGGTTTGGAAGATAAAAGTGTTAGTATCGGTTAATTTTACCTGTGTTGATGGTTTGGTGTGTTGGTTGGCTGAAGTATTTTGTAGCTCGTTTGAATCTGATGAGCTTAGTTGTATGGTTGCTGTGTGAAAATCAAAATAGCTGTTGCTGTTAGTAGTCATGTTCTTCTCTTTCACGGACAGACTTTGAAGGATTTTTTAGAAATACTTTAGCTATGGGCTAAACTGAGGTTATTTGACTTAAGGTGTTTTGTGGATAAGTAGTAAAAGTGATTTTGTATGTAAAAGTCGAACTATAATCTAATTAGAACCTCAAGCACCTTTCCCCTTACTTAAAACTATGATTACATGAAGCTAAACCAGGAGCAAGAATTCATGAATATCTGAAAGTATAAAAAGTGTATCGAGTTCTTTAGCATTTGTGAAGGCTTCTTTTAGTGAATTAGGATCAGGGATTTGTTTCCTAATATTAAAGAGTAGTGCTCTTTCTAAGGATTCTTGTGAATGAATTTGTGATGTTTGGTTTTTTCCAGACTTGGGCAGTATGCTGTTACTAGTTTGATTTCGTGTCTTTGCTTTTTAATCTTTGTTTCTGAATACATGAGACGATAGCATCATCTAATGTGGAGAAATTTTGTCCAACTATTGTCATTGTCAGTTCATTATCACATAATTTACCCTTTGCAATTTATGGTTTTGTAAATCAATGTATTTACCTGTGCATTACTGCATTTTATTCTTCTTGTGGGTTAAGGTTATGGCCATGTTAATTCGAGTTTCTTTTCATGATTGTTTCAATTAGTTATTAATCTGTATAATTGAATGATCAAGAAAAAAAATATTAATCTATAATTAGCAATCAGGAAAAGAATCTTTCTAATACTTGTATCAAATCTCTTTCTGTGGGGATACCTTGCCAGTCTGCAACTGTTTCGTAGTTTAACGGAATGACGGCACCCATTGTTGGTTCTAAATTCTAGTTTGCCTTTTTTTTTCATGTTCATACTTTAAGTAAAAATAAGGTGATTCCCCATCCTCAATCACATGGCTAACTAAACTAATCATCAATGTCCAATATATTTATTTTTCCAAGTTCTGATATCTACTTTTTTTTTTTTCTGCGATGAAAAAAATAGAACAAAAGAAGTGATGGATTTGCGTTAGAGTCATGTTAAAGATTTCCAACTCTTTCCTCCTTAATTCCTTGCTTGATTGTGTGTCCATTCAGTATCATAGTTTAGTTTATTCCGGTAGCCTGTAAAATGAAGGGTGCATTCATGTTATGCAGTTCCAACTTATAAGGATTGAACTAAGGGTGCCTGAGTACGGTTGGACAACTCAGAAGGTTTTTCACCTGATGAACTTTATTGTCAATGGAGGTATGGAGAAGAATCTGTTAAGTATTCCACACTTATATTTCAATCCATCGCATTAATTTATGATCGACTTAATTGCAGTGCGTGCCGTGGTGTTTGGATTTCACAAGCAAGTATTTCTTTTGCATACCAAGGTAAGTTTCAGTTGTAAAATATTTCTCCTTCTTTATGAAGTGTTGTTTTTTTCTCATAAAGATTCACGTTGCTTGCAATTTTTCTTACTCAATTGTTCAAATTCGCTCCTTGGTTCAGTGTTGTCATACTAGGTTTTGTTGTTATTTCCTAGCACCACCGCATAATGTTTGTGATTTTGGACACTATTCCGTTTATGTACAAAATAAAAGACTGCCAATACTTCGGTAGTTTAGCTAAGTGTTGATCTTTCTTTGATTATTCTTGATGGGAGTCGCTTTGTGTGCAAAATTTTAGAAACCACGTGTTAACTTTTGTATAGTTATCCGGTTACTTTCTCACTGGGAATGCTTATGGATATCATTATTATGTATATATCAATTATCGTTATAGACATATTATTATTTATTTTAGTCCTCATTCTTGCCTTATTTCTATTTGTCTATATATAAAAAAAAAAATATGAATCAGGCATTTACTTTGGTACTTTTGGATCTTCCTGGACTGGTGTTCTTTTCCACATATACACTTCTTGTCCTTTTCTGGGCAGAGATATATCATCAGGTATGCGCAAATAATTGCGAAAATACATCACCATTATGAGTTGTGTGCTAAACTCAAATGCATATGACTTGTGAGTTGTGAATGTCATCATTGTCATTGGTCAGGCTAGAAGTTTGCCGACCGATAAACTGAGAGTCTTTTATGTTTCTATCAACGGCATTATTTACTTCATACAGGTCCGTATTAGCTCTCCCTTGAATTATTATTTTCGTTATAATAATGATAATACTAAATGACAATAAACCGAGGTGTTGAAATCAGGTCTTTATCTGGGTTTACCTGGGGATTAATGATAACAGCGTTATAGAGTTCATTGGGAAGATTTTTATTTCAGGTTAATCTCACTTCATTTCTTTTATTCATTTCCATGTACAACTCAAAGGATGAAAAGCCTTTGGCCTTAATATTATATATACCTGATATAAATGATTTGTAACATCTGATCCTACTTCGTCACTTTTCATCTCTGCAGTGGTATCGTTTATAGCTGCATTAGGGTTCTTGCTGTATGGAGGAAGGTGGGAATTAGAAATCTTAGCTATTTCCAAATACTACAATATCAGTTTCTTCCTAATGGTTCTTTCAAGTCCTTACATTTGGGTTTCTTTTTTATACGGTTTGCCTTTTTTTTTTTTTTCTTTGCGTTCCGTTTTGCAGGTTGTTTTTCATGCTCAGACGGTTTCCCATTGAATCTAAAGGAAGAAGAAAGAAACTTCACGAGGTTTGTTATCAAGGATAATAGTTCAGAAGCCAAGATGGCCAATCTTATCATTCCATTCGAAATATATATTTTAACTTCAATCGTTTATGTTGACTGTTTGAACTCGATTTACAGGTTGGATCCGTGACAGCTATATGCTTCACTTGTTTCCTCATAAGGTGCTTTGTGGTAAGCTTTCTGAAATTGCTGTTTTTAACTTTCAGCTTCGATTTAAGATAGAAATCGGTAAATATTGATGCAACTGTCTCAAAAGTAATCCCTTGTTATCCAGATTTTAACTTAATATTATTTATCAAACTTTATCTCAGGTGATGCTTTCAGCTTTTGATTCAGATGCATCCCTTGATGTGCTGGACCATCCAGTTTTGAATTTAATCTATTACACGGTATCTCTTGTCTTTCGGATGATTCAATATTCGATAATCTCTATTTTGTAAATGTATATAATCTTATGAAAATAAAAACAGCTGGTTGAGATTCTTCCTTCGGCTCTCGTCCTGTACATTTTGCGCAAGCTGCCTCCTAAGAGAGTATCAGCCCAGTACCACCCGATCCGTTAGTCGAGGAAAAAAAAAGAAAAATGAAAAGGCCCATTATGACCGATTTACAAGGTATGTGCATTTTGAAGCTTTACACGACGTAAAAAAAAAAAAAAAAAATCCAGATATATTATGATTCTGGAATGGGACTGGATGAAATTTCTTCTTACTTTGTAAGTTTGTGGAAAGTTCTGCCATGAAAAAAAATAAATAAATAAATAAAATCTTCGTATTTTGGTGGTTTTGTGGGAAGATTTGCCATTGCAGTGCTTACTTTGTATGATAATTACTATTTACATTCAAAAGTATAATTATGTCAAATGAATTTTAATATTTTGGGACTTCAAATGAAAAATGAAGTATGAATTTTTGTTCTAATATTATAATGAATAGCTTCGCTTATCTCACAACATAAAATGTGTATCAACTAAATCGGAGCTTTCAGTCCTAATGGTGACAACACTGCAATTATCGAGTTTCTTTTTATTGTCATATCAATGCAATATTCGAGTTTTTTTATCGTTGGATCAATACAATCGAGGATGAAATCTAATATCTACACTAAACTTATGGTGATTGTGAGTGACAACAAAGCTTACTATTTCAGCTACTTTATTGAGTTATTCTGTTCTTTGATTCTTACGTTGTTACTTTGTACTTTGTTTTCGTGTGAGTAAACAGAAAATGACATCATACACTGTTTCTTGAAGCAACTTTCTCCCATTGACTTTAGTGGCAAAGCAGTCTCCCGACATAGGTCACAACTCACAATTGCAATAAATAAAAAATTAATTCCATTAAGAAAAAAAAAATATACATCAATAATGCACACGAAAACCATACGCTATTTCGCACCGACATTGTGTACTTGTTTTATCATTTGAGTCACATTACTATTAACTATTAATGAATATCTTGATTGATGAATATGTAATTAAATAGATAATTGATATAAAAAATAAACCTTGAATGTGTAATTAAAGAGATAATCGACCCGCTCGCGAGCGCTCGATTTGTCTAACGTTTTTGTTATCTCACACAAAATAATTGTGAATTGAAAAGGTGGCAAGAAAATCAGATCAATCAGTACTTTTCCAACTTTGGCATGGCATCAATTAAAATCATCATAAATATATATATAATTACACCAAATAATATATCCTTATTCTGATTCATTGATTTTTGTATTTAATACCATTATACTTTCAAACAAACTAACTGTATCCCACATGCACTGTTTCATTTCATCACCTTCATGACTCAATGGCCAAACCAAAAAACCACCCCAATTTGGCTATATAAATTCCACACCAAACTAAAATAGTTAATAACATAAAATTAAAACTCTCTTTTTCTTTCTCCATTGTAGCCCCCCAAAATACATGGCTTTCTTAAAGCTAAACAAACCATTTTCTTACACAAAAATCAATTTTGAGGACCCTGATGAGATACAACACAGAAGGGCACAATTCTTGATTTATAAGGTTCTGCAAAAAGTCGACAATCGTTCGAGTGCTCGACAAAGATCATGGCTGAGAGTGAAGGTCTGTAGGTTGAAGATGAAGATAGGAAAGCGATTGAGAAGGCTGAGGAAAAGGTTTTCGAGCATTTTTTTCTTGACGAAAGCCGATTTTCGTAAGAAGATGGCTTTTGTGCTGAAATCTTACAAGCATTTGGTGCATGGAAAGCAGGCCTCAGTTGCTGGGAGAGTCCCTTCAATGTTTTAAACATTGTTTTTCTTTCATTTTTGTTATATTTGTCTCTTTTTTTGCGGGGCAAGAAATTGGAGTAATTAATGACTGAAAAGTATTTGGTGATCACCATCCTTATATTATTTTTTTTTCTTCATATAAACAAATTGAAAGTTTTATTTTGAAGCTAAGATATGATAATCATTCAAGAAATTAATCAAAATTACATATAGTGCATAAAAAGGCAAAGGAAAGAAAAAAAATAAGAAACGCTTATTGTTATAAAATATTTTCACCCCTCCAAATTAGGCATTTGGTACTGTCCATTAATATGTTACGATCATCTACTCGTGTATTATATGAGTGTTGGATTAAGAAGTATATATATAAAAATATTAAATATTTTATTTTATATTTTAAAACTACAATAATTTGTGTTTTAATTAAATTGTCAAATTATATATATTCTTTGATTATAATACTTAAACACTTCTATATAATTTAGTATTCGGATGTCAAACAATATTTTGTTAATTTATATGTAATTTTAGAATTTGGAGAAATAATTATTTATTTTTATTAAATTGATAGCATATCGATTAAATTTTAAACAAATATTCTTTTTCAAATAATAATATCATATTACTTCACATTCGAATTGAGTAATAAGTAAATATTGAAAAGAAATGGTGAAAAATAAATTAAGATGATTGGTTTAAGTAAAAATATGTAATAGAAAAAAAAAATGAAATAAAAAATAAAAGTATTATGATAACTATTGAATAAAAATATAGAATGAAATAAATAATGATTTTACCAATAA